CTGAATTCAAAATAATACTCTAACATGGCTTCGTGTATCAATCTTTTAAATTTGAAAACATCTTTATTTTTCATGATAAGATGTACACTATATGAATAGTGTGTAATTAGACGCTATCTGTCTCTATTCTTCCTCTCAGGCGATGTCAGAACTTCTGTTTTAAATCACGACATATATAGGATAATGACCGAGTATAAGTGGCGTTTCTGTGGGGGTGGGGGGGGGGGGAGGGGGTGGTAAGGCACTGCACCCCCCTCCCCCCCTCCATCACTTTCAAATTTTGTATGTATAGGATAATATGAACGAGGACGTTTCTACGCAGCCCAGGTGACTGACCAGGCATTGACACCCCCACCCCCAATAGGGAAAGAAATATCAGTGAGAACCACTTCTTCCAGGTAACCATGCAAATGACGTCATGTTCTAACGCTCTAACCAACTGTGCTCCAGCCCGTCTTCAAAATGGAATCTAATCTCGGTCGGTATGTGAAGTGAAAATGACATTCAATAAGTCATCGTCATTTATAATTCAAATCGACAGGAAATAAAAATTTGTTTCTTTCTTCCCCTTGTATATAGGCTAGCACTTCAAAGAATTAAAAATCTTTCGAGTATAATACATTTCTTTGCTGGAAAGAAGAAAACGTGGGTAGGATAAACTTGTTTGAGTGATCCCGGGGCACCAATAACTGTTAAAAGAGTTTGTTAATAAATTTGTCAGCTTGAATCGCAAGAAATCGACCGAAATCACGAAAAATTGACAAGTGTACAAATTGATTTATGTAGCAGGGTCCTTAGGGTGCAATTTATTACAGAGTTTTCTGCAATAATTGACAGGGTCAACCTGCCAGGTCGAAAAATATCATCATTTTAAATTATTATACACGTACACCCAATATTTAGCATTTACTTTTCAGAGATATAGGCCTGTATATTTACTTTACCAGTTGACAGACAGAGAAGTGATGGAGGAAATGAGCCAAATTCGCTACTTTTGAAACGGGCAGTATACAAAATTTTCATTCTTAAAAACGTCGTAACAGAGACGGAGCCAGGTTTACGTCCGAGAGGGGCGAGAGCGGCGAGATATCTCAGATTGCCTTAATCTTTAACCTTGTTATGAGATTTTTGCCAGAAAAACTTGCTTTCGGAGCTGCGACCACTGCCCCTCCCCCCTTTGGCTCCGCCACAGCGTCGTAAAGAATACCTGGAAATATTTCTGAAATATGTTATTGCCATCTTTGTATCTAGTGATCAAACTGAACTCAGGATATACTTAACAAATTACGCTGAACATGTATCAGTTGAGAAATAGATAATTAGACGATCCCTTGAAGTTTCTGTATTCCGACAAAACAAGAGCCATGGCGCAAAACATCATGAGATATTTCTGCGTCTGTATATTAAATAGGAACCGAACAGTCTGTGACACAATGAATTATGACAGTGTCAGAACCAAAAGGAATATATCAGAATGGTTAACATAACATAGAAAAATCTATCAATTAAAATTCGCAGTCGGCTTATAACGTTATTAGATAATTATGCTCTCGGCTAAAACAGTATGGAAGGGATTCGTTGCCAAAACTATTGACCAAGTCGGACTTGAAAACAAGGCGTAACGTTGAGAAATGTATTGCGGTGTATAACATAGCAACAACCAATAATAAGATAAGTATGGTCAATAACCGAACAGGTGCGAACAGAGCGAAAACAAGAGGCACTAGTCCAGGAAGAAAGTGTGCACGATTGGCTTGTTATATGTCATTGTGTCAACATTTCAGCCCCGGCCGCTGCACCGGAAATCGCACAGGAAGCCGCACTAGTCACTCACGTGGCACTGATCACCGGAAGAGAAAATCAACCACTTGTCCGCTCTATAGCTGGCATATTGATCAAGCGCGTAGTTTCGCCATGTGTTACACCCCTCCTAATCATATGGCACTTGACCGTTCCATATCTGCCATATTGGTTTCATCCAACTTTCAGGAATGACCAAAGGACTAGCGCCATGAAGAATAATATTATTTTATGGAATTATTGTCAGATTAATAAATTGAATCGGGATTTTATCAAACTACTTTAGTTTTTGTCTGGACAGATAAATATATTAATAACCATCAAGGACAGTCGAGTGTTGATATCGCTTCTTAGTATCGGAGGCCGTCATGCAGCTTCGCCAATTGTTATGAACTTAGTGCTGAAACCGCTTACAGAAGACTGCGTCCGTCCGTTTCACGAACAATCATCTTACATGTACAAAATTCACACAAGAAATGCGGCTATTGCAGTCAAGGTATAAGAGGAAGTTCGTAATAGTTTGACATTGTGAAGATGATAACAATATGTAGATATGTTTTATTATAGCTTATTAAATCTGTTTTTTGTAATTATCTTACGACAGTTTCTCTCTACTCAATATTAAAAAGACATGGTCCTAATTGATCACCCAATATCCTGAAGAAATCGTAATGAAATGAACAGGAAGTTAACATCCTACTTTCAGTTTGTGCTCTTGAAGACAGGCTGCGCCTTGAAGTATGCAATGGGGGACATTTTGCAATGTCAGGGTTTTTTTCCCACTCTTCTTTATTCCATAAATCTCACAAAATAGGTCTTCGAATCACTTCGACCTCGCAATGTCAAGCTATTCGTATCAGACGTAGTTCATATCAGCTTGACATTGTGAAGATGCACTTTGACCTACATAACGCAACATAACGACACATTCGTGTTAATAAATATAAAAAAAACTGCTGTGAAGATCTTTTCAGTTAAATCTCAAATGCCGAAGGGTAATGTTCATCTTTTCATACCAAATTTCATTCGTAGAAAATAAACTCAGTATTATTTTCTAATCAAAGCTATTAGTTTCAATTCAACGTGATTTCAGTTAAATAAAAACCACTTTTAGTACAAACTGGCGTATCGGATTTCCTTGACAATGTTTTCCTAACGTTTTTTTGGTTCCACAAGAACTTTGCCTGATAGGGAAATACGGAAAAGAAAGAATTAAGCACGAATTACAAGAATTACAGTTTTGAGAGAAAACAATTCCGGAGACTTTAATAACATACAGCGACTTTGGTAATTTGATTTGAAATACTGTTGCGTTTCATTTTTATCTGTGGGTAGCTTCACACATTCAAGTGAGTTAGGAATATATCTTGTTTGTCCGTTTGTTTAAGTAAATTAAAGGGACAGTGAAAAGGTTATTACACTAAGTGTATTGGGGACAATGATAGCATTGATTTGTAACATTCTAATACTCAGTCAAATGTCTGTGGTTTCTGCTATTATACTCAACTATAGTGTTTAATGACGTCACCGTCGTAAAAGCTGTTAATAATATCTAAAGAACTTGGCGATAGTGACGTCATAAAACTTTAAATAACGTCCTTCCACTCTAGCGAATAGTGTTGCACCATCTTAAGTTTTTGCAAATACACATGTTTACCCGATTTGAAAGACTACATAAATCGTTCGAATGAAGACACTGTTTTGATTTGAATGTCTAGGTGCTATTTATCAACACTTCGTCACATTCAATAGTCACAAGGGACATCACTCTTCTCTAACTTTCCAATTCAATAAGATTGCTTTAATCTAAATGTATTGTCATAGGAACAGTTTTAATTAAGCTTTATTTTGAATTCAGAATACAGAAAACCAGAGCGTTATATCTAATAAATAATTGCATGTAAATCGTTGAAATTATTGTTAATACGTTCGCATAATATTTCTGAGAAACGTCAGACGTTTTGTTGAGTGGTTCCCCAATGGACCGTATATGCAGGTTGCGAATCCAGTTTTCATGCGAAGCTACGGATCACTGATTTTATTCATGGGAATGCCGTCTTTGGCAAAGCTATATATTAAATACTTGACGTTTTCCCTTTTTCAATGAGCCAAAACATGTAAATTAGACCTAAGTCCAGTTGTGCTTCGAAATAAAAGTGAAATGATTACTACTTTAGTGTACCTTGTTCTACTTTAGCGATTGTGATCCATTACATTAGGCTTGAAAAACTGCACGAATTTGCCCCACAGAGAGTTCAACAAAATATTAGCTATATAACGAAGACCTATTATTCTGCTCGGTGAAATCTATAATTAATGGTTTCAGCCAATTTCTTTGAAAAATTTCTACGTCTGCTTGGCACCAATGTACCATAAAAACTGTTATTTTATATATGAATGATAATTAAAATCAAAGAAGGAAACAACTAAAAGGTTGGTTAGTTTTGTCGTAACAGCCACCTTCATAATTGATAAATTGAAAAAAGCACTAGGAAGCTGATAAAAACACACTCAGACTGGGCTAATGAAGATGGGCAGTGTGCAATTAGGGAAAATTCACGCAGTAACTGTAACAGTAGGTTACAAGGGGAAATTAGAGAAGAGGGTGGGGGTTGTTGAATACAGTTAAAAAATATAACAGTAAATTTATGAAGCTTTATCTAAAGCCGAGCTAACCTCAGCTGACCTTCATCTTCTGTTCATGTATTCCCGCCACAATGGCGTTGTTAAATATATGACGTCATTGAGCTTTTATGTCGTCACCCTGTTTAGAAACGTTATTATCATTGGATAAGAGAAATCTTCTTACCAATCAGAGCGATGGATTATTGAACCTTGTGTGTGTTTAGGGGGTGAGGTGGGGGTGGGGTGTTACCATTTCAGCAAAAATAACCAAAAAGTACCAGATATAAAACTCGAGACAAACATTAATAACATTTTACTCGAACAGAATCTGTTTCTGGGAATTCATATACAAGATTTATAACAACGGTTATTTTCGCACAAAGATCTACAGGCCTCTAATTGAGTTTTTCTTCAAAGGGGCATTTGATGCAAAGTTTGAAAAAATCGAATCGTAATGTGCAGCGAAAAGCAGTAGCGTCGAATGTCTGTTCTTTTCTTTTAGTAATTGCTAATTCCTTGAAATTGTAGAATGAGGACATGACTAATTGTCCTTATTGAGCCATGGCGTCTCTCGTCTGCACAATACACTTTGTTACTCCCCGTTCATTCAAAACCACAGTATGAAAAACAGGATTACGTAGGCTCGACATTTTGTCCGTCCTCAAAATTATCGAACAAGCGGATACGAAAATTAGCAGTTGAATTAATTTTTTCTGTAATTTCATTTTATGTAGTTTTTGGTTTCCACATTAGCCATTGGCTTAATATTTTTGGCTCCACGTTAGAAAGAGAGCTCAAAACAATTAGCTGAAAGTTCCGTTGCTAATGACATACCTCTTGTGACGATATAAATAAAAACAATAATAATAAAGAAACAAAAGAAAGAAACGAAAGGAAAGAAACCATAGGAACGAGGTTGGTCTGTTGTAGTAGGTGTAGCAAGCGGCGCTTAATGACGAGCGCTTCTACCATAACGTAACATAGTTGGTCCGTGATCCCCACCGGAACCGGTTCGTCCTGGAACCAACTTTTGTCCGAAGGCAGCAAATCTCGTCTGAATGGGAATACTAGAATATTTCCAACTGGATTTCTTCTGAGGAACTCTGGAATCGTCTAATTTATGTCGGAATTGTCCGATAACTTCATCAATGGCATCGCTTTCTAAGTTTCGTTCGGCCAAAATATCTCTCAATATTTGACTCACAAGTTGATGATTGAAATTACTCTCTTTGTACCAAGCGCCATCGTCCACTACCGGAAGTGAAGATTTTAACCAATCACTGATTCGCTTCTGTCTAGATGACGTCACTATGACGAACAGGACGCAATAGAGGGTGAATGAAAGCCACGTTCGAATCATGCCTGAAAAATACAAAAAATAATAAAATTAATTTGAGTTTTACGCTTTAAAATATAACAATTAACACCTTTTATTCAAGGTCTAGCAATACTTTGAAAAAAAAATTTAACCCTAGCTAACCATGATGATCACCAATTATATTTAGAGAGATATTATTTAACAAGTTCGATCCCGTAGAAGAATGACAAGGTGTGAATTCATTACTATTACCACCTATAAACAAACAACATATAGGGAAAAGTAATGAGATATATACGCTGTCGGGATAAGATCAGTAATGCCACAATTATGTCCGAAATTCACCGTCACCTATGTAAAAATGAAAGATGAGAAATAGAAGGGTCAATATTACGTCAGAATTACGTCATGGTCGTGTCAAAATTACGTTATGACTTTATAAGGACTACGTCATTACTACGTCAGAATAATGCCAGAACGACGTCACTAATTCGTTGATACTACGTCATAACGGTCACTTATTGGTTGCGACTACAAAACATCTACATTTAAACCTATTAGAAACAAAATTGGAGAGTACTAATGTCGCAAAAGTTGACATGGTTTATTCTTGAATGAGATCAGAAACAACTAATAAGATTATTAAATATAGAAATATAGAAACGCGGGGATTTAAATATATGTATATCAAAATACCCATTATAATTCTGGACAATTCGTATATAATTTGTTCTAAAACAATACTACTTGTCAAACACCAGAAACAGGAACAGACTGAAAAAGATCAGTTGTTTAAAGATCACATAGCGTGAAACTCCGCGTAACATGTTTCAGGTTCTGTTTTAATATTTCTATAACTTTAACTTTAATAGTAAGTAATTTCATACCAAATGGTCGAGAAAAAAAGTATACAAATAAAACGTCAAAAATGAGATTTCGTGATGAAAGGGAATTAAACTAGCCAAAAGTTTGAGGAATTTTGTCAAAAATGACAGTTTTAAGCCAATTCAATTTATTTATATGTCGTGAATTTGTTCTCACTTCAATGCCTTTGTAAAGTTTCAATTATTATTTATCGTTACAACACTGGTTACAATGTAAATATTTAACAGTCGAATCGTAGAGTCATACTTTATACACAAATTAACTCCAATAGAATTTTTTTTTTCAATTTAATGAAATTGAATTTTACGTCCAGGTTTTCACCACCAAATTGTGCTAGTGAAGATGGAAAACTCCATGCAGAGTGTGATGAGAGAAATTTTGCCAAAACAGCAGCAAAAACCTGTACATTTTCTAATTCTAATTGTCGAGGGATCTCAAATAGAAACAATTTGAACATAGAGTTTCAATGAGGCTTTGTGTGCCCTTGTTCTATATCTTATTAGACTAATGAATTGAAATAGAGATTTATATCCTACTATTCTGTATCTTATTGGACTAATGAAATGAAATATAGTTTTATATCCTACTGTTCTGTATCTTATTGGACTAATGAAATGAAATAGAGTTTTATATCCTACTGTTCTGTATCTTATTGGACTAATGAAATGAAATATAGTTTTATATCCTACTGGTCTGTATCTTATTGGTTTGATGAAATGAAATAGAGTTTTATATCCTACTGTTCTGTATCTTATTAGACTAATGAATTGAAATAGAGTTTTATATCCTACTGTTCTGTATGTTATTGGACTAATGAAATGAAATAGAGTTTTATATCCTTCTGGTCTGTATCTTATTAGACTAATGAATTGAAATGTAGTTTTATATCCTGCTGTTCTGTATCTTATTGGACTAATGAAATGAAATAGAGTTTTATATCCTACTGTTCTGTATCTTATTAATCCCACGTTATTGAACAGAAAGAGCTTGACATAATTTTCCAAGACCAATTAGTATGACTTGTTCCACAAATAAGTTCTAATGTAAAAAAAAATTAAGTTTTTCTCAAGAAGTTTATTTTCAGTGACATTTTCATTAAATATTCAGACACAAATTGCATTTGTTTGGTGTTTGTTTTTCACTAATTGCTATTTTCTTTGAAATAAGATGTGACATACAGCAAATTATTTTGTAGTACGAGGTTGACTTTTTGCCAATTATTACTGACTTGTAATCAGTATGAATTTGATTAGCATTTTATTTTTAAACTTCTTCTTGACTCCAGCCCATCTCAAGCTACCAACACATGTGTCTGATACATGATCCTCATCAGGACACTAGTATTAGAAATTGAAGTTAATTTTTTCTCAGACGCCATGCATGCATGCTTGAAGCAAAAAGAAATGAGATCAAGTTCTTTAACCACTCAATTCAATTTCATGAAGGGAAGAATACCCCCACCCTCCCCACTTTCCTCTACACACACTTTTATTCAGTCCCAAACCACTTCAGCATCCAGACAAAATACTAGAGTAATATATATATAATATTTCAACTATAATTCTATTTATTTATAAACGAGTCTTAGTATTTCAAAAGAGCACCCCCACCCCTCTACTTTTTCACCCTACTCTAAATTAATCTTTACCCGTGTAAAGTAATAGAGGAGCAATGCACTATAATTCTATTTATAAACGAGTCTAATTATTTCAGGAATGGTAGTAGCCCGGGGGTAAGAAGAATTAGGTAATCTCAATACGGCTCGCGATTCTAGATCATCACTATTTTATTCAAATTGTCTCCAATTATCTAGTAGACATAAGAACTATGTATTTTTCAACCCAGTTTCTCCCTGTCACTGATACAGGTAAGAGGGGCTGATATGGGAAACGTCGTTCAGGCTACAGGCTGTGTACGTTGAAGATCCCTCAACAGTAGGAAATAAGAAAGATTTGGCTAATGTCGCTTTTTGGAAAAACTTCTCTCATTACACTCTGCATGGTGCTGTCCGTCCCCATTAGCCCAATAAGGTGCAGATATGTAGGAGGTAAAAAAAAAAATGGCCCAATGAGTACAGCCATACAGTGTGCAACGGGGGAAACTTTACAACAGCAATTCGATTTTAATTAATAGTAAACACACCTGCTGTCTCAAATAGTAGGATATTAAAATCCATTTAAATTTCATTTCATTAGTTCAGTAAGGTATAGAACAGTGGGATTTAAAAACCCACGCCATGAAGTTTGAACATAACAAATTTTAAAATTTTTACTTTGTTGTACATTTGACATAATGCCCCGGGAATAGGCATTTAACCTTTTCTGACATCACAATTTTTTTATTTAAACTATACGCGTGCATGACTAAACATGTTCTGATGCGATTTTAACAAATAATTCCCGCCATACTTTGTCGGCATTGTGGCACAAATTACCTCTAATTCTCTTCAATTTCATTTGAAAGCAGACGTGTTTGGGAATAAAAGGCGGGGAAATCTAATTGCAGACGTTTATTTTGATCGTCAAGAACGACGATTAAATTTCATTTACAGATTTTAAAGTGTTTTATTGCACAATTTGAATCATTAGCCCAATCAGGTGCAGGAAAATAGGTCGTTTAACTCACTAGTCCAATAAGGCTACAGACCAATTTGACGTAAAACTCCATTTCATTTCATTAGTTCTATACGATACAGAGCAGTAGGATGTTATACGCCATTTCATTTCATTAGCCAATGAAAAAAGTAGGATCCATTAAGCCAAAAAGGTACAGAACCAGCCATCTTAAGATGCATCAGATGGCATTTTCTACAAAGAAATCTGTTGTCCCCTCATACCATATTTCCAGTGGTTTTTGTCTAAAATAAAATATAATATACCACTGGCCAGAAAAATAGAGGAATTCCTCTAAAATAGAGAGAAAGTCTGGGATTCTCGTCAGGAGAATAAAATGAGTTTCAGTCAAATAAAGTCTCTCTTGTTTAACACCTTTCCAAAATGTCTGGTGCTACAATAAGTCTGGCATTCATGTAATCATTCAACTTCATTTCATTTAGCACTCGGTCTTTAACTTTAACCAACTATAGCAGACGACTCGACGACTAAACCGGAAGCACAAATATGATGTTTAATCGTTGTAATAAAATTCTCGGTTAAAAGCTCTTCATCCCATTATCTTCGATTAACAAGTCCGTCGCTTTGTTTAGCATTTAAAGAGACATTCTCGAGCATTTCTTGTTGGGATTTTGTAGTCTTGATATTTGCTTTGTAAGAAAGTCGAATTTGATTGGCCGCTTTACATGATCGTGATGATATTTTAACCAATGAAATGTATCGTCTCAAAAGCAGCAATTTGTAATTATTGAAAGAAAAATTCACGCAGTACATTGAAGACTTTAAAATAAAAATCTGCACAAGAAAAAAACATTCAGTCAATCAAAAATCTCGTCCAAGGAATGTCAAAATCGAGAGTGAAAGTTGTATAGTGGTGGACTCCTCCAAAGAGAAGTACCATCAGGTGTTTCGAAAAGAGTAAGCATGGCCTGCTTCGCGCGACACCCAACGTAGACAATTTTAATCAGAATTTGAAGTGGATTCAACGTCTATACATTGGAATGATTGTAATAAAATTTGTCTAACGAAAAAAAAAAATACTAACAAATCTCTTTAAACCTCTTGATGATTCCGTTTCCAAATATGGTCGATCAATATCAGCTCTCGACTTCTGACGAAATTCAAATAATTCTTGTCATCTATCCCCTCTCAAGCACTCCTACATTAATTCCTATCATCCAGATCAAATTACATTGTAAATAACGACCAAGTAATCGAGGCTTATTCCAAATCCACAAATCTTAACCTTTTGTCCTAACGATTATCGACGTCACGTGATCAGATCAATGATAAGCTATTGGTTGAATCAATGACAAGTCTGATCATGTGTTTAAATCGAAGAATATTGTTGGATGAGCGTAATCGAGACCAATATCACGTGATGGGATAGGGAATTTTGATTAGTTAACGTACTTCAATTACGAACGTCATGAATTTGATCTTCAGTAGTCGACGTTATCAAGTTACGTTATTTAGAGTCTCGATTAGTTAATCGACAGACGACAACTCCAAATTAGGAAATGGATGGCGTCAATAAAAACCAAAATACTTCCGTACTACGTGATTCAACCGTGTATTAAAAACAAACTTCAATGGCGGGATTAGAACTGTAACTTGGAATCAACTCCCACGCATCGAAACAAATGAGGGCACAGTCTACACATTAAGAATATCATCTTACTCAGTCGAAAAGTAATAAAAATAGAATTTTACGTTCTACATGCCGTGTGCAACGAGGGATATTTTGCAAGAAAAACG